GGCCCGGTAGCCCAGTGGAGTGGCAAAGGGTTTTCCGAAGACATACTGGAGGTCATCGGCATGGTCAGCCCCCATCCATTTGGGGTAGATGGGCATCCGTGAAGGGTGGGAAAACAGGTAAGAATAGGTATTGGCACTCCTGAGGGTAACAGAAACAGATAGGTTGGGGGGAGGCTCCATTGGGCGGCAGGCCCTGGAGAGAGGCCAGAAGGAGCAGGGCAGGGACTGATGGACCCCCAAGTCTCACAAATTGGGGTATGTTTGTTTGAGACAGTGTCTCTTTATGTGGCCTTGGCTAATCTGGAACTTACTATGTAGACCAGACTGGCCTTGAACTCAGAGATCTGCCTCCTGAGCTGGGATTATAAGTGTGTGCTACTGTGCCCAGTTCTCAACTGGAGTTTTTGATGCCCAGGGAAAAAAAAGCTGCAGCCATGTTCACGGATCTGCACTTTCATGGTTCATGTCTCCACTCTGCAAAATATTCAGAGGGCTCTTCCCATAATTCAAGGTTAAGGATTTGTTTCTCCCCATCTGAATTCATATGTCTCACATGATTGGACAAGGTATATGCCTCTATTACCCATTTAATCTTGACGGATGTGTAGCCCAGAGCTAAATTCATTGCTCAGTTAGCCAAGAGGCCTTGGTCAAAAGCCACAGCGGCCTAAGCAGCCTTCTCTCAAGAGCCTCCCCCACACACCCCTTCCCAGAACCTCACTTGGCATGGGCTCTGTGCTGGGCCAGAGCCATCTCTGTGGGGATCAGGAAGAGGGCGTCAGTCTCAAAGGCCACCACTGTCTTCTTCTTATTCTCCTGGGATGGGTCCTGGGCCCAGGACTCGGTGTAGATGCCAAAGGTGGCTTGGGCACCCTTAAGCCCCTTTCTGACGGTGCTTCCACTGACTAGCCTGTAGAAGTCCTCCCTACATGGGGATGGGGGAAACAGACACTGGACCTGCTGCTGGTGGTGGCAGGAGCATGTCTGTCTGCCCTTACCCCAACACAGCACCCACCTCCTCACGCTCACTCTATTAAGCAACCCCGCCTCCTCCCCCACCCACCGCGAGGCTAGCCTCCCCCTCCCCAAGCAATGCCTGTTCCTTCCCAGGTATTATCAGGTGCATCTGCCCTCCCTTGCTCACTCTGTGATATCCTGTTTGGACTTATCGATGGCTGGCATGTCAACAGTAGCAAAGAGGTGGCCATCCATGTCGTTAGTGCCAGCCAGGTAGTCAATGTCAGCGGCATTGGCATACAGATTGATGGGGTCATCAGGGATGAAGTCTCCATCGACAACAGGGGTGAAGCCCAGGTAATACCAAATGGGGTCTGAGTGGGAGAGCCAACAGATCCTTATACTTTTTTTTTTTTTTTTTGGTTTTTCGAGACAGGGTTTCTCTGTGGTTTTGGAGCCTGTCCTGGAACTAGCTCTTGTAGACCAGGCTGGTCTCGAACTCACAGAGATCCGCCTGCCTCTGCCTCCCGAGTGCTGGGATTAAAGGCGTGCGCCACCACCGCCCGGCCTGGATCCTTATACTTTTAAATGCCTGCCGGGTCCTTCTCTTGACTTTTTGTACTAAGCTTGACCTCTTTCTTCCTTTATCTGACCAGACCAGGCAGGGTTCCTTAGCCCCAGCCTCAGGGACTTTTTGGGCTACTGTCAGCTTGTGATAGGGATGACTGTCCTATGTGTAGGCTGTCGAACTTGTCCCTAGCCTAACATGCTCGACATCAGTGGTACCCTTCCCTGGTTGTGATAGGTAAGAACGTCCCCAGACTTTGTCTCATGACCATGGGGAGAGTCTACTGCTCCACAGGCTGGCGCTGTCTGCTCTCCTGCTTCAGTGCCCCTGTCCCCTCCCTCTTTCCTTGTTGAACCTACACCAGGGAGGAGGTTCTAGTCTGCTGGCCACCATGTATGAGGTCTGCCTGCCCTCTAGGCTTGCCAGTTGACCTGTCCTTGGGCCCAGCACAGTGAAGCTTCCTTCAGTGGCTCCCCAAACAAAATAGTTGGTTTGAGCGGCAGAGGTGCTCACAGGTCAAGCTTTTGCCTATCACGCATAGGCTCAGGGTTTGCTCTATGATACAAGAGGGCAAGAGGAACCAAGGGCACAAACACTAAGACCGCTGGACTTTGCTTTAGAAAAATAAGCAAAGAAAACAAATTCCATCTCCTAGGCTGACAGGTTGCTTCTTCATGTTTGCTGGTAGCAGCTCCAGCTAGAAGGTCCAAACACCACAGCAGGCATTTGGAAATTTGCAAATGATTGACACATTAACAAGAAAGGTAGAGAGGCCCTGGGTCTGGGTCCACACATCTTCCTGAAACTATGCATGGGTTCATGCTATCATGTTTTTCCTTCCTTCCTTTTTTTTTATAAGATTTATTTATTTATTATGTATTCAAAGTATTCTGCCTGCATGTATCCCTGAAGGCCAGAAGAGGGCACCATTACAGATGGTTGTGAGCACCTGTGGTTGCTGGGAATTGAACTCAGGACCTCTGGAAGAGCAGGCAAAGCTCTTAACCACTGAGCCATCTCTCCAGCCCTCTTTATTCCTTTTTATTTATTTTTAGACAGGGAGTCTCCCTATGTGACTCTGGCTGGCCTCTCACTGTGTAGACCAGACTGCTGGGATTAAAGTATACACCACCACACCTGGCCGTGTTTGGCTTATTAAATGTCTCTGGAGGAATGGAAGAAAGATCAGTATAAGCCCCCTTTACCACTGGGACCTGCTAGAGGGAAGTGACAGGAAGTTAGGGACACGCTCAGCCTTGGCCCACAAGGCCTCCCACCCCCAGCAGCTCACACTTACACTCCTGCTGTTTCAAGGGCAACCTGTAGGCCAGTGTCAAGGCCCGGGGATCTGTGACCTTCAGACACCCAGCCAACTTGCTAGTGTCGTCTGTGGGGCATCCCACCTTCTCAGCAATCTAGGGGAATGCAGAGCGGGAGGTTAGAGGAAGCCGTGGCCAGGCCTGGAACGGCTAGGGGCCGCAAAGGGAAGATCCAGGACAGCATGGAAATGGGAACGGTCCCCACCCTGGCTACTCCTGCCCTGTGGCACTTACCTTTTTGGCCCAGAGAAGTGGGTTCTCCTGGATGGCCCAGGGGCTCAGCGCCACGCCACTCTGACTGATGGCTCGCCGGATGAGGCCCTTGTTGTACGGGGAGAGGGTCTGCAATACCCGGAAGCCCTATCAACAGGCTGTACCTGGGCCAGAGCTCCCAGCTGCACCCCGCTCTGACCATTCTCCTAGGCCCCACTGGCTCCCTCCCCTAATCTTGGGGTCAGACTCTCCACACCAGAGGGCCCCAGACCTGCAGAGAGACACTGGCACCTCCGGCAGACTCCCCAAAGATGGTGATGTTATCGGGATCCCCCCCAAAGGCTGCGATGTTCCTCTTCACCCAGGCGATAGCCATGTGCTGATCTCGAAGGCCAAAGTTACCTGAGGGTATGGGGAGTATAGCCTTCATCAGGAGAGACCCTCAACTAGAGTTGGGGGAGGCTAGAGATGAGCGACCTGGGGCTTATACAGAGGGTGGCAAGTCATGTGAACAGCGGGAACCAGTCCTAACTGCAGCGATACCCTGGAAGAGTCCAGGACGGCAAACAAGGGCTCTCCAGGAGACTGAGCAGAGGACTTGCAAGGGTGGGGAGGTCCAGGGAAATAAAGCCAGCTGGTGGCTCTGCTTGGGTCCTACACACTTCCTCCTACTGTCTGTCTGTCCTTTGATTTCCATGTCCACTCGACTCTACCTCAGCCTCCCTACCTTGCTCTCCAGGACTCAACTTGCGCCTCAGTCACTCTGTCCCTCGGCTTCTCTCATTTCCCGATGACTGCCTAGAGCTCCCAGGCCTCACAGTTCAGCTCCTGTACCCCAACTCTCTGAAGAAGGTTCTGGGCCCTCCCGTAGCCATCAGGGTAGAGAGTTCTGGAGTGCATCCGTCTGTTGGCTTCAGAGTTCACAGGGTTCAGCATGTTCACTGTCGCAACCTACCTGGAAGGTTGGCGTCTCCGGTGCTAAGGAAACCCAAAGGTCCCACGCGGTAGTTGAAAGTGACCACGATGACGTTACCCCGAGTGGCAATCTCTTCCCCGTCATACAGGTAGTTTGAGAGGAAATTGGCCCCGTGGCCAGATCCCATAAGAAAGGCGCCTCCATAGATCCAGATCATCACAGGCAGGTCCCGGGACACTGTAACAGGGGCAGACAGGGACTTCAGACACCGGCAGGCCCTCTCCCCAGTGAACTCATTAGCCCTGTTAGAGCAGGTGCTCAGCCCAGACTGCGGGGATCCTTGAAGCTCTGGTGTAGGGAGTGGGGTGAGATCCTCTGGGAAACTAGAATCCAAACCTTGTTTCCTGCCCTGGGGCACCCAGATGTTGAGGTAGAGGCAGTCTTCTTGCCCATAGGTGCTGTCCTGGGTGAGGGTGGCCTGTAGGCATCGCTTCTGGAAGCTGTTGGCCTTCAGAGTCCCTACAGTGAGAGGAGGGGCAGGCGTGAAGAGGACCAGCCCAGCCAGGGTCAGGGCCAGGGCCAACCCAGCACCCAGTACCCACCTTGCCAGCCCGGGTGACGCTCGGGATTCTCTAGGGTCTTGGCGGTGGCAAAGGGGATGCCTTTGAAGATGTCGACAGAGTCACCACCCAAGAGACTAAGCTTCTTGTTGACGCCCTCCACGAAACCACCTTCTGTGTACACAGAACCCAGCTGCAGGTGAAATGTGACAGGGTCAGATGGGTTTGGGCTAGCCTGAATCCAGAGTGGCTGACTGAACAGGCTCCAGGGTGCTAGCAGGTCCCCTGCCAAGTGCTGGAAGGGATGGTTCAGCCCCCACCCAATCCTGGCCCATCCTTCTGCAGCTGCCTGAAGCCACTTCAGCCCATATTCTGCCCTTCTAGAATGAAGGTCTAGATCTCAGCTGAGTCTTCATTTGTTTATTTAAAGGCGCTCTGGTAAAGTTTTATTAAAGGAAAACTCTATTTTACCTTTCACCAGTCTGTTCTGGCATGCTTCTAATAATATTGGAACCACTTGGGTCAAGGATAGCCAGTGTGCATACTCTGTAGTGTTTTCCACACACTGTACCCAACTCAACGTTATTGCCACTGTAGTGACGGACACCAGTTTTAGCCAACAAAGCATAGTATTCTATTTTGGATTTCCTCAAAGCGGGGCAGTTGTTGGCGAGGATAACCAATTTTGCTTTGCCCTGTCTGGTCATCTTCAGAGTCTGTTTGTATACCAGCATGTACTTTTCACTTTTCACCAACTCCAGAGACTTTTTCATCTTCTTTGCGGCCACCATCTTCCTGCCTTAGGTACCGGATGGCCCCCAGCCGAGACCAGCCGCCAAGATGGCTGGGGAGCAAGAAAGGCTCGGCTGAGTCTTGGTGTGTAAGATGGGCCACAGCAATTTCCCCAAGGTTTGATGGCTGTCAGAGGGAAGGCCTGTCCAACTGCCAACAGTGATGGATGCACAGTTGCTGCCAGAATGTTTCCGACATAGCCGTGAGCCTCTGAGGTCCGACTCTCCTTCCTCCACCTCTCCCCACAGCCTAGCTAGCTGGGCATGGAGCTATGTCCACGTTCTCCCAGGGCCAGTCAGTACTGCCACTTGGTGACTAGTCGTTTTTTGTTTGTTTGTTTTGAGACAGGGTTTCTCTGTGTAACAGCCCTGTCTGTCCTGGAACTCAGAGATCCACCTGCCTCTGCCTCCTGAGTGCTGGGATTAAAGGTGTGCGCCACCACCGCTCAGCTGGTATGTAGTCTTACCGAGTGGCCTGGAGGCAGGTACCCATTGGCCCACTGTCCCTGCAAACTGAGGTGCAGGGGCTTCCCCATTGGGAGTCATTCTGCTGAGACAAGGCTGTCCAACCTCAGTACCAGTGCATGCCCTCACCCATTCTGCTTGCATCAGTCCAGGATACATGCAGGAGCAGCTCTGCTTACCTGGCAGCAGCGACAGTGTGACCTCCTGCCTCTCCCCTGTGAGTGGTTTCAGGTAGGGGGAAGTAGGTGGCCTGAGGCTGCAGGCCCAAGCTAGGACCCCAGGAGCCCTCTGAAGTTCAGGCCCATGAAGTCACTATACTGGGTGAGGAAACTGGAGAAAGAGAGGAGTTGGGGAAACTCCGCAGATAATTGGACATCTGAGGTTGCTTGTTTCAGCCTCCGGGCTACTGGGATGAGTCAGGGAGCCAGCTCGGGGACAGGGGATGTCACCTCTCAGCGTATCTGTGTGGTTGACCTGAGTGCCTCAAGTGGGGGCCCAAGGATGCAGGGATTCTGGCCAGTGTCAGGATGGGTGTGTTGGCTGGTGGTAGATCAGTGGAAACTAAGTTCAGGTCCTTCTAACACCACAAAAGAACTCTCTTGAGAAAGATAATTACTTCCTTCTCATGGCAGGAGCCCAGGACCAGCACCCCAACTTCCATGCTCCAGGGGAGGGAGGGTGTTCTCCAGGGCTCAAGCCAGCACGACACGGGCTGGAGCATGAAGGGGGTGGGAAGTAACGTGGTGAGGAGCTGGGACCCCTGTCCAGGGACCTATGCCGTCTCCCGCATCTGTTGCGCTTTCTGTGACTTGTCCACACACAGAGAGAACGATGGTCAAAGGGCAGACTTTACAGGCGCCCCAGAACTGGTACAGCCTCCTCCGGGTACTTGGAGGGAAGCCTTGCATACAGCAGGTAGGGTTCACCCCTCTCAGGAAGAGCAAGAAACGGAGGTTACTTGGGGAACAGGCGCTGATTTGGAACAGACATTTCAGATTCCTATTCAAGAACAGGATGTGGTTGCTCTGTAATGTCAGGCTAGCTGCTTCTTTCTCTATGGGGTTCCCTTAGAAAAGGGGGAAAGCCAGAGGTTGTGGGTAGGCTTGCCACTTAGGCACACCTGAAACCATGGAGCAATAGTGGGCTTTTTAGTATAAATGCTCCAAATAGTGCATGAGATGTTCTTACACGCAAAACTATTCCTGGTGTGTGATTCCAGTACAGTTCTGCAGGCTGCTCTAGGCTTCATGTGAGCAAGACAAGCTGGGTGTGGCCCAAGCAGGACCAGAACCTGGAGTGCTAGTGCTGCTGAGCTTGCTGGCCTCTTCTTCCCTTTCTGTGATCTCTCTGTCCTCCGTCCTAAAGCCCTGCCCCCAGTTTCCAGATCTTAATGCAGCAAGAGAGGGCTGCGGTCCCCTGCAGGGCTCTGACTTACCTTTGCAGCACAAGCTGCTGCCAAGCAGCAAGTGAAGCCAAAAACCAGAACCTCCAGGCGCCCCATGGTGAGTGTCTGCCCCTAGGCGCCCTTCTCTCCATTTCTCCTATATTTATGGAGTTGGAGCCAAGGTCATGTGCATACCATGGACTCAGATACACAGGTGTGGAATCATCCATTTCTCCCAGGTCAGGCAACCTGAGTGGCGCCCAGTGTGTACCTGTGTGGGTAACTGCCTACCTGGGAGCGGAGGCAGGTGACACGGATAGTGTGGGGGAGGGCATCCCAGGGCTAACCCTGGCTGGGTGCTGTCACCTTCAGAAAAATGGGTGTGCTTCATCTCAAGGTACCTTAGTGGGGAATCCATGAGAGAGACTCTTGTGGTTGACCCTTGCTAACTCCAAGAACCTGCACTAAGTACGGGGCAGTGCAGGCTGAGCTAAGTGCAGGAGGCAGAGAGTCCCGGGAGTGCAGGACAAGAAACTAGGTGGACATGGTGGCACTGATGGAGCGGAGCTTCCAGAGAGAAACCTGGTGTGGCTCACTTACCAGGACTTGGTGGCACCTTCAGATAAAGGGGCATATTTCACCTCTGTGCCTTGCTGGTGGGTGGGGTGGGGCTTCCTGGAGAACACAAGCAAGGATTCTGGGGCATAACCAGGCAGAAAGACAAAATCTTGGCAGGAGAGGCACAGAATGAGGGAGGGAGGAGGAAAACACTGGGTTTGGAGGTGAAGGCCAGTACAAGGTTATCAGAACAGCCACCATCCTAGGGATGTGTACTTTGGCTATCAGGAAAACATTATTACTGCGACGGACACCAACCAAGTCCTAAGAGACTCCCTTTAAGGAGTGCAGCTGCCTTTTACACCCGGAGGACACAGCAGCTGGCCAGGCATAGCCAGAGTCTTCCTAGGCCAGCAGCCCCTCCAGTCCAGGAGCCCAAGTCCTCAGCTCAGATCACAGCTCTGCATGTGTGTGCCGGAGCACGGGGGGACCCTACAGATCAACATGTACCACTGCGTTCATGTGCTGTGCCCAATCCAGTGTGCAGGTCTCCATGGTGCACAGTAGGTGTGCACATGTGAGAGGTGGGATACAGCGGAGGTGGGGTAGCAGGAAACACGCATGTTGGGTATCATGTCAGCTACTGATTCTGAGAACAGTGCTAAAGAAAGCAATTCTGTACTGGGCAGCACGGATTGAGCAATGCACGGTAGCTTAGGAGGAAAGCGGCAGGAGGGGGAAGTAGAGGACAGGGGCCTCTCTCTAGCTTTTAGAATACTTTTCAGTTCACAGCAACACTGAGCAGGAAGGAGAGTCCTCATGTCCACTGCCCCAACATTGGAGTAGCCTACGTCTACAGAGACAGACCCACAAGGACACACCTCTGTCACAGTCCAGTAGTGCTAGCTGCTGCTGACGCTGGATGTACTTATCTGTGGCATGTGGAGTTCTTTATGGGGAGACCCTAGGGGCACATCTGGGTGCTCAGTCCACAACCTCCCCAAAGGTTGGCCTGAAAGCATCAAGATGAGCTGACAGAGAGGACCACACAGAACACTAACCGCACTCACACAGACACAGAGGGTTTAGGCATGCCATCTTATTTTATTTTTTTTGGATTTTTCGAGACAGGGTTTCTCCGTAGCTTTTTTTTGGTTCCTGTCCTGGAACTAGCTCTTGTAGACCAGGCTGGCCTCGAACTCACAGAGATCCGCCTGCCTCTACCTCCCGAGTGCTGGGATTAAAGGCGTGCGCCACCACCGCCCGGCTAGGCATGCCATTTTAATAACAGTTGGTTTTCCTTTGGTGGGGGGCGGATGATAAAATGTTTCCTAAGAAGTAAAGTCCACCAACACTGGTGCCACATATATCAGAATTACAACCACAACTCAGGCCAGACCTGTTGCTGCCACTCCACAGCTATGTGGCCTGAGCCTCAGTTTCTCTCTGACAAGGAGTTTCTGGCATGCATGGCAAGCGCAGGGTCTGCAGTTCCCTTTCCTGGTTGCAGGTGCCTCAGGAGAGGTGCTTCTACTTTTCTCTCAGGCAGGAGACATAAGCTTACAGGAGCCAGTGAGTGGCCTCACCTGGGAGAGTCCCTTCAGGCACTGGCTTGCAGAACTCACCCCAAGTACAAAGAGTAGAGAGGCTTCAATGACTCCAAGCAGCCTTCTGATTTTATCATGTTACACTGTCTAGTTTATCAACTGTTAAACGTATGTACTTCAATGATTTGTTATTTTAAATTATGTGTATGTCTGTATGGAGTATGCGCACATGAGTACAGGTGCCCCCAGAGGCCAAAGGGCTGCTGGAAAGAACTGGAAATTGTGTTAACTATGGTGATCAATGTCACATATTAACAGGGTACACAGATATTTGGTCAAGGTAGGCACGGTGTATACATCTTCAATCCCAGCACGAAGGAGGTGGAGGCAGAAGGATCTCCGGGAGTTCAATGTTAGTCTACACAGTGAGTTCCAGGACAGCCAGGGCTACAAAGAGAGAGCCTGTCTCAAAACAAACAAACAAACAAACAAACAAGCCAACAAACACTAAAACACTTGGTCAAGCATTCTGATGTTTGAGGCTTTCTTCGAATGAAATGCTGTATAAATCAGTAGGCAGTGATAGGACAGCTTAGCCTCTATGTGGGTGGGCTTCATGCCCAGTCTACTGCAGGCCTGAGACTGCAGGGGACGGGACAGCCAGCGTGCTGCCGCCCTTTCACTGAATCTCCACCCTACACCATGCCCCAAGGCTGTGGACCTGTACCACAACTGTAAGCCAGCTGTTTACAATAAATTCTAATGGTTCTGTGCCAAACAGCACTGTAGTTCTGTTAGAGACAAGTATGGTCTTTTCTCAACCACACCCAGCAAAACACAAATAGAAAACAATACCAGGGTGCAATATGCACCAAGACTCAGGAACTGTGAAGTCAGAGGACTGGGAATCAGCTGCATGAAACATGAGCACTTCCGAGGGCATTTTATGTTTTCATACTGAAAACACTTTTATTTACATGGGAATTCAGGAGAAGAATCACCACCCTTTGCTAGGCGTGGCTAGAGATCAGGAAGTCCTAGTTTGG